TATTTTTTTTTTATTTCAGAGAGGAAGAGCGAGGGAGAGATAGCAACATCAATGATGAGAGAGAGAATCATTGATAGGCTGCCTCCTGCACGCCCCCTACTGGGGATAGAGCCCCCATCCTGGGCATGTGCCCTGATAGGGACTCAACCATGACCTCCTAGTTCATAAGTTGATGCTCAACTGCAAAGCCACACTGAGGAGGCACATTACCATATGTATTTTTTACTTGAGTTTTCTGCCTAAGCCAGGACTCTTGCCCCCTTCCCAATGCATTCCAGCACAGTGTACATGGTGATCTTATAAAAAGATATATCACCAAAATACATGGTAAAGGAAGAGGATTTGAATTTGGGTGGTGGACACACATTGCAATATACAGATCATATATCATAGAAATGTACACTTGAAACCTATGTAATCCTATTCACCAATGCCATCCCAATACATTTAAGTTTAAAAAATAAAAAATATGTGGGGGTGGGGGGGCAATGGGGTAAAAGAACGCATATGTAATACCTTAATCAATAAGGAAAGAAAAATAACAATAAAAAATATATATATGTCAGATCTTGTCACTCCCCTGTTTAAAGCCCATCAATGGCTTTCCATTGTCCTTAAAACTGACACGTGCAGTGTGGTGAATGGAGCGCTGCAGGGTTTGCCCATCCCACCCTCTGCCTCTCTGCTCTCCTCTCCCAGTGTTCTCTGCTCACTTAGGTTTAAGTCCCACATACCCCCCCTTTTTTTTTCTTTTTCAGTTCCTCGGTCTCACCAGGCTCTTTTTTACTCCTCAGGGCTTTGTACATATTCTCTCCACTTCCTGTTATCTTGTCCTCTCCTCTCTCAAACTTTCATCCTCCATGGGCTGCCTTTTGCTCAGTCTTTTAGGTTTTAGCTAAACTGTTATTTTTTTCAGTGAGGTCACAACCCCTGACATTGGAAACCTGTTAGCTGGCAATTTTTTCCCTGGAGGGCCAGATCTCAAATATTTTCACCTTTGCAGGCCAAAAGGTCTCTGTCACACCTACTCAGCTTTGCCCATGTAGCATGAAAGGAGCCATAGACAAAACAGTGAGCATGGCTGTGTCCCAATAAAATTTTACTTTACAAAAACAGCCAGCACGGGGCTGAAGTTTGACCAACTCTCTCTCATCTAAAGAAGGTAGTAATGTGTTGCTGTAAGTTCTCTCATAGCAACTTGATAACTTTTTAGTACTTACACAATCTATGATGACCCATTTTGAAGGCAAGGATTCTGTTTTGCTTAACACTATACACATGCCTAGCATTGTGCTTGGCACAGAGTAGATGCTCAATAAGTATTTGAATGACTCTTAAGTGCTCTAAATTAACAACTTTATATGCTTACTAAGTAAGGATTTAGGAAATAAAACATACATGTATGTGTGTGTAGCATATGTAATGCACTCTTTATGAGTTTGGTATATATTTTTTGTTGTTGTTGTTGTTTTTGCATTGCTGGCCTGGAATATATTTTTATTTTTCCATTATATACTCACTGCTTTGGAGTGGATATTCACTCATTCATTCCACGGTTACTTATTGTTTATGATGCACAGGGAATTATATGAAAAGCAGAGTTATACTGGATCCTGCAAGAAGACAGCAGTAATACTGTCTTCTTGTTTTGCATTTTTGGGTTCAGGGCTGAGCTGTATCGGGCCTCAGGAAAGTTTGAGCTACTTGATCGTATTCTGCCAAAATTGAGAGCAACTAACCACCGCGTGCTGCTTTTCTGCCAGATGACGTCTCTCATGACCATCATGGAGGATTACTTTGCTTTTCGGAACTTCCTTTACCTGCGCCTTGACGGTGAGTACGTGAGGAACTAGACTGGGAAGCCCTGCTCCTGAGAGTACAGGAATGACGGGCACTTAGATCCAATCTCCTCAGAAAAGGAGGGGTGAGACTGTTGAAGAATTAACTAACAGGGTGGGTGCCGCTTTTCTAGATACCAATTTTTATACCCTCAAGCTCAAAATAAGCTGAAATCCCTTGCACAGCTGTTTATTCCCCCACACAAGCCAATACAAGTGAGCTAGAGTCATTTACTGGTATAAGTTCCACCATTAAACTAAACTGAAATAAAATTTAAAAGCCCTCCTTGCTCTTAGGATTATCTATTTCCTTTGCACCATATGGAATATTTTTATAAACTGTTAGCTTTTTGTGTTAGGGCATGTTTTAAGGGGATAAAGGCTATGTCTCCTTTGTTCAGTAATACTGAAATAGTTCAGTTAAGATTATATTTCATTATCATTAAAGCTTCTCTCTTTTTCTAAGCAGAATATATCTATATGTTACATTAAGAGATAGGTTTCCATTGTTTCCTGGATTTTGCAAACTATCCCATATAATAAAGAGCTAATATAGTAATTAGACCGGACGGGCAGAACGACCTTCTGGAACAAGCACGAATTTCATGCATTGGGCCACTAGTGTAAAATATTTCCCGGATGCTAGGAGAGAACTTTAAAGACCATGTCCTAAAAAATTAGTAAGAAAATATGAATGAAAGAAAGTATAAATTTAGGGATATATGATTTCTATATCAGCCCCAGTACTTTAGAGATGAAACATACTATACTTTTCATACTATAGCAGGGGCTAAGACTTTCAAAGAGTGGTAAGTGGGAATAACTAATTTACAGCCAGGATGGTGTAAATCCCCGAAGAATACAGTATTACTAATACCAATTTTCTTCCAGTGCAATAAACAAGTTATTGTTAAATGTTAACTTAGTTTATGTTTCATTGAAAGGTTTTGTTTTATTTTTATCCTCCCTTTGCCATGAATTAGACATAGCTGGATATATACCAAACCTCAGACTTGCCATACTTGAATTTTTATTTGATTTACTTTATTTTAAATATATTTTTATTTATTACAGAGAGGAAGGGAGCGGGAGAGAGAGAGAGAAACATCAATGATGAGAGAGAATCATTGAGTGGCTGCCTCCTGAACGTCCCATACTGAGGATCGAGCCCACAGCCGAGGCATGTGCCCTGACCTGACCAGGCAAGGCTCACGGCTCCTACGTAATAAATGGTGAAAAGAGATTAAAATTGGAAGTTAGAAGTTAGTGTGTAGTTACTGGGGGAAACTAATTTTGAAAAATTACAGAGGAGTGATGCCTGTAAACATATTCCCTCGCTTCTACCACTGAAGCCTTCACCCTTCACCCTGTGCTTTCCTACCTGTTGTGTTATCTTTTGCATTCTTCCTCTTAATGGAACCTATCCATGAAAACATTACTTTCTGGTTATTTTCTCATTCTCTCTTCCCACTGGCTCTCCTTTGCTCACTCTTCTTCATATAAGTTCTGCCAAATTTTTTAAAAATATATTTTATTGATTTTTTTACAGAGAGAAAGGGAAAAGGATAGAGAGCTAGAAACATCGATGAGAGAAACATCGATCAGCCGCCTCCCGCACACTCCTCACCGGTGATGTGCCCGCAACCAAGGAACATGCCCTTGACCGGAATTGAACCGGGGACCCTTGAGTCCACAGCTGGCACTCTATCCACTGAGCCAAACCGGTCAGGGTGTGAATGAATTCTCTTTATGATCTCCCTCTTAGGGTATTTTTAAAAAATGAATTATACCTCTGATAGACTTGATTTTTAAAAATCTTTTTACCTCTCTCCTCCAATGTCACTAACAACAGATGAATGGTTAAGTAAATGTTAATTTTGAATTCAGGACACAGTTACATCCTCCACAGTCTGTCTCTTTTGGCAACACTCCTGCATTGTCTTGTCCTCAGCCCGGATCCCTCCCTCCCTCTGTGGGAGAGGTCAGCTCTCCTTCACCACTCTCCTCTGAAAGCAAACCTTCCTCCATTGTGCTCAGGGGAGGGGCAGCCCAGCCCTCTGTCCCCCCTCTCTGCCCCCCACAGGTGTCCTAGATGACTTGTTTACCAGTCTGTAGCTTTTTGTTTTGAATCTCAGCTCCCTGAGGATAGCAACCCTGGAATGTTGAAATCTGTGAAATTGACCAGAAATGATTTCCTTGAAACAAATCTCTCTCCTGTTTTCTCCCCAGTCTCAGAGAGTATATTTATAGTCTGTTGGTTGCTGTCCTTATTGTCACTACTAACAACAGTCCTAAGAGCTAACGTGTATGGAATGCCTCCTCCATGTGGGATGGCAGGCCACGCACCCCTAGTGCACTGTTAATGTAATTTTCTCAGCCAGCCAGCTACAGTTGTCCCGTTTTCGGAGGTATTACCATGATCCCCATTTAACAGATGAGAAAGGAAAGGTTTTAGAGAGATGAGTTAATGGTGAAACCAAGTTCTGACTTAGGTCTCTCTGCCTCCAAATTAGCTGCTTTAACAGATCCAGTGAGATATAGCCATTTCTGAAAATGTAGGCTGCTGCCCTCAACAGCATTTGAAGGATGATTTTGAACTGAATCAAAAAAGTTTGATTGATTGATTGATTGATTGACTGATTGAAAATAACCAGTCACCAGAGATACAAGATGAATGAGCCACTCACGGTTCCTGCTGCCAAACCCCTTACCATTAGGTTGGAGGAGACAAGTCAGCAAGTTCCATCAAGCATTAGAGATGGATTGAGAATGCAGACAGATTTCCACCCACAGGAAACAGCAGCCATGTGTTTTGGGGGTGGAGAGCATGGTGGGAAGACAGTCAATATACACAGGAATAAATTAGTGCCCGTGCTTCCACTGCACCACTTCCACCCACCACCCTCTTCACCCAATTGTTCCAAAGACTTCAGATTTTCATTGCCAAATTTGATGTCTGTGATTTTTGACCTCAGGAAAGAAAAGAAAAAAAACCACTTGATGACAGCTAAGCAGATTTTTCTGCAAAGATTGTGGTTGCATGAATAGATTTTAGCTACTATTCCATTATAGTCTGTTTTCACTGGAAATGATTTTTGAGTGAAAGCAAGTGGTGAAGTTACATCCTAGAAGGCCGAATTTTCCCAAAGCACTTGACACTCAGTTAAAATTAGTAATCATGAAAGCCTGGCAGTATGTTCCTCCTGGCAAATTCTGCAGTTCTCAACACAATTGCCCTTGCTATTAATTGTATTCTTGGTAATGTGCTACATCAAAGTCCAGAAGAACCTGGGCCGGATGCACATTAAATCCTGTGCCACCTACAAGGAGCATTTATTTGCCTGTGGATAAATCCTGACAAGGTAGTTTGAATCTCCCTGAGCAATATCCCAAAGATTGCTGATGATCAGCAAAGATCTTGACTTGGGGAACCTTTGACTAATGGATATGGTAATGCAGCAAGTTCTGAACATTGTAATAAAAAATGCCATAGCTTTGCATGAAAAGTGATTTAATCGTATTTTCCCTTGGCTTTATAACTTGTCAAGTTCCCAGCTATTTTATATAGTTTAAATATATATCAGATATGTGGTCGGTCTGTTTGCTTGAGGTATTTGTCATGGGGCCTGAAAACTCCTTTTATCAAATAATTTTGATAGTCCTTTTGTTTTTCAGTGCTTTGTTTTTGCATTTAGGGTTATTTCATCCCAAATAAGCATCTCCACTAATTAATCTTTTTTTTTTAATCCTCACCAGAGGATATGTTTTTATTGATTTTAGAGAAAGAGGAAGGGAGAAAGAGAGAGAAAAAAAAACATTGATGTGAGAGAGAAACATCAATTGGTTGCCTCCTGTACACAGTCTCTGACCAGGGATCGAACCCTCAGCTTTTTGGTGTACAGAGCCATGCTCCAACCAACTTAGGCAGGGCTCTACTAATTAATCTTAATGCATGTGACCATTAACTGGTTATTTTTTAGTGGATCAAAACTGAACTTCTCCCCTGAGTACATAGATGCACAGTTTTGTACTCTGCTATCAGAAAACAGTTCTCTCTGGGAACTCCTTTCCGAATTTTAGAAGCATCTTTTCCGTTTCTGTGGCTGATTATTTACGTAAAGCAGAGGATAAATATGTGAACCATTACTTCATGTGAGTAATTTTTCAAAAATGATTGTCGCTGGAAAGATGATGGTGGCGAAAAGGTTTCATGGCACAACAGATCTTCCATGAGCACCGTGAACAAGTAGTTCCCCATGAACAAGTAGTTCTGAAAATAAAAGAAAAACGAGCCCCACGTGTTTGAAACCTCGTTCAACAAAGCACATTTCGTGATTCTCCCCCAAATTCTAAGTTCTTAACAGTTCTTTGTTGCAGAATTTGACCAGGTCACTAAACTTGAAATCTAATTTAGAAAGTAAAATGAGCTCTAAAGAATGTGGCTTCAGTACCCCCCCCCCCCCCCCGCCCCCCCTCAAAGCCACATCTGCTGTATGCAAGGAATCGGCTCTTTCTCCCTCCTCAGGAGGGTACTTATTACTTTTATTAATATGAAAAACAGATCCCCCCGTGTTTGGGAACTTGACCCTCATAGTAACTTGATTCCATTAACCGTAGTCACTGAGCTGTTTTAATCCTCTGAAATAAATTTGCTAGTATAGTTTCATCCTTAAGAAAAGAACACCATGCAGAAATAATGTTTGTATAGCAGGCAGTTAGGGACTATCATGTAACGTGCATATATATTTCCCAACAGCCTCAGGCCTTTTTTTCAAAACTCCGCAGCTCCACTTCTCTGCTGAAATATGTTCAGGTAGAATATGTAGATTTCTTTCCCTTCCCCAGTGCAGTTCAGGTAAATACATCACAAACCCAAGGCATGTGATTGAGTGGCTGTTTCGGGACACCAATATGGTGCCTTGGCATCCGAAAAGTGAGCGCCTTAGCCTGCGGTTGGGACGCTCTGCTTACTCACTATTTTGGAATCTCCTCAGACACCACGGGGTGAGCCATCGCCAGGTGTGTCACGTGCGGCTCTGTTGGGCTGAGTTTGGCGTCCTTTGAACTGTCAACATGAGAAACAGACTGAGAGATTCCTTCTCCCCCCCACCCCCCTTTTAATGATTGTGGCTTCAAGCCTTGCTACAAGGATAAAAATATCCCTTCCACATTTTATGTGTTTACCAGCCAGATCGTGCTCAGTAGCAGTCCACGTGGTGACAGTGTAGTAGCGATTGATTTTCCTTTTGTTTCCATTCTCTTGGCGTAAACAAGACCTCACACTAATGCCTATCGGCAAAGTTGCTTTAAGCCATCATAATAATCGGTTTTTGCTTTAAGCCATCATAATAATCGTTTTTTGCTCTGTGTGTGTGTGTTTTAAAATATATTTGGTGGTGTTAAGCACAGAAACATATCCAGAAAATGTTTTCGTTGAGTTTTAGGTTAGCATAAGAATATTGTACAACCTGTTAAGTTGCAGAGGTGCCCAGTCCAAAATGTTTAAATTCTTTCAGCATTTTGGAACTATGGGTGATAGGCAAAGTGTTCCTTCTTAATGTGAGAGAAGTCTCTTTCAATCGCTCTATTATTTTTCTTTTCTTTCTTTCTTGCAAAATTTTCAAAGTTCCTTTCAAACATACAAAAACCTCGGGGGATTACCTCACCAATGCTGAGAGGAGTCTGAGTCTATTTCTCAAAGAAGCAGGCCTTTTTGTCTTGCTCTGTGCCATGTTCAGACAGGAGTTAATTGGCAAATTTATTTTTCTTATCCCCTCAGGCACCACCAAGTCTGAAGATCGTGCTGCTTTGCTGAAGAAATTCAACGAACCTGGGTCCCAGTATTTCATTTTCTTGCTGAGCACAAGAGCGGGAGGCCTGGGCTTAAACCTCCAGGCCGCCGACACCGTGGTCATCTTTGACAGCGACTGGAATCCTCATCAGGTCTGCGTGTCCCTGACTTAGCTGCCCAGCCTCCCCCCCTGGAGAGGAGCTAAAAGACCAGCCGTTTCATCACTCACATTGGTGGGGCAGAGCAAAGTTCTACACAGTGGGCCATGTTTGCAGAGGGAAAACAGCCCCGCATGTTATTATGGCTGTTTTATTATCTCCCTTGGAGCATATGGAGATGTCTTATTCATACCTTTGATAGAGCTCAATTTTGGGGTAGAAATACTTAGTTTCTGCTTCGTTTTTAACCTCATTTCCTGGGATGGCCACTGAGCGAACTACTTGGTTGGTGAAGGATAAATCAAAAGTGTTCCAAAGTAAAAACAACACAGGAGCAACTCACATGGCTTGGCCCTTACTCCGTGCCAGCCTTGCTCCATTCAGCCTTCACACAGCCATGTGAGATTGTGACTGTTACTATTCGCTTCCTCACAGTCAAGAAAAATGAGTTTCAGGAAGTGTAGGTCAAACATTGGATATATGACAGACAAGTTTATAGTCTGTGTTTTGCTTAAAATCATCATCAAAAAATATTCTGTGGAGCATCAACTATGAAGTTTGTCTAGCCGGTAGGTTTAGAGTTACCCTTTGGTGATTAATAAATCATCGAATGGGTCCCTTGTGGCCCTGGGTTAGTAAATTATGCTGGGAGTTGTGCACCTGCCTGTAAGATAATTGGGTGGATGCTGTTCGTCAGGCTTGATTCATATTGGAACCAATGTTAACTCAAAATAGTAGAAAGGGATACTGTGGCTCTCACATATGAGTATGAATTCTACATCAGCTTCACCCGGGCTCCTCTCTGCACCTTGGTTACCTCAATGGTAAATATGCAGAAAAGTACTGCTTTACTGGGTCGCTGTGACAATTGGGCGGAAAAGGCTTGTGGCGGAAGTTTTGGGCAGGAAGGTGGGGTTCATGGTGCATGGGAATTAAGAGGGAGATTTTACAAAAGCATACCTGCCTGCTTCCCGTTCCCTGCTTCCCACCCATACAGACTCCGTGGACTTTTCTATACATTCAGGTGCTCCCAGGAGAGTCTGGCATAGGTTTTCTCACACAGCTGACAAGCACTGATTTACAGAATAAACCAGTGGTTCCAAACCTCGGGGTGGCCACCAACCCTGACCCTTGCCTACGCCCACCTGTCACTCTCTTTAGGTGACTACAGTGGAATTGCTATTAAATCTTTCTGACCTTGAAGAAGGTTCTAAATCTTCAGGAAGTATTTTGATGTAGTTTTACATCCCACACTGCATTCCAGAGCATCGGTAGAATTCGTATTTGTGTGAGAGATCTGCAGTTCTCCTGTGGACCATTGTGAATTCAGCATCTGTTCCACAAACACTTTCTGAGTGGCTGCTGTGGCCCAGGTGCTGAGCTAGCTGGGTGTCTAGGGGAAGGAATTTGTGATTTCTCTCTTCCCGGGTGCTCAGTGTGGTTGGATGCTTAGATTCCCCTCCTTGCTGCCGCCTGAATCTCCATTGAGAAACAGTAACTTGTCTGTAGGTGAATGGAGAGTTCACTAGATTTTATCTTCTGAGGTAAACATTTCTATGGCATCTCAGTTGTCCACTTTCGTTGGCACAGTGCTAATTCTAAGACCCAAAGGAAATCACTTTCTGGAAATGCTAATTTACCATGAGAAAGGATGCTGGGACATATATGCCCCTCTCTCTCTCTCTCTCTCTCTCTCTCTCTCTCTCTCTTTCTCTGCCTCTCCCTCTTTTCACACATAAACACACACACACACACACACACACACACACACACACACACACACACACTTTCATGACCAGCACCTAAAGGTGGAACTCCAGAATCAAAGTAAATTACATGGACACCAAACAGTTGACTTTTAAATGTATATGAATTAAAACACAGGGCCCCAAATTTTGGGAGGTCTAATTTACCACAAGTTTATCACATTGGGCCACATATTTCTGGAAGTATTTCTATCTGCCATAGGTAGATTCATTTCTACCTGGTTTGGTCAGGTTGGCTGACCGGATTTTTCTTATCTATCACTTATGGTTTGGGCAAACCATTCTTTTTTTTATTTTATTTTTGGAAATCAGTGATGTTAGAGTGATATAGATGAGTGCTAATTTCTTTTATTTAAAGGGTAAGAACTAATTAAGCAACAACTCTATCAGAAACTGAGGCACCTACGTAGCATATCAGAAATATCGAATCATCCATTCAATAATTACAACACTTATTTCCTTGTCACCATGTCCTCCCCACCCCTGGCGTTCTGGCTCAGGGACTTACAGGCTTACGTTGCATAAACTTCTTCAGCCTAGAAATACTAATTTTTGCCACTTTCCAAACTGATAGATGGCCTTAAACGACAAAGAAACAGCACTCTACCAGAAACTGTGAGGCACTTAGCACTGCCACCATCATAAGAAAAACAAAACTAATTGCAATAAGCACCCGATAATGTAAGACCTTTTTATGCTGTCTGAAGACGCCCCACACCCTCTGCTTCCTCACCTGCCACTTTCTCCTGCCAGCTGCATCCACTGTTTTGTGGTTTACCCACTTCTTCTAGGACAGGGGTCAAAACTGTGACCCACGGGCTGAGTCTGGCCCGCCACCTGTATTTGTACGACCTGCAAACAAAGGATGATTTTCACATTTGAAAATATAAAGTAAAATTGGAAAAAAGCAGCCAGGCTTTTGGTGAGAACAGTTGCCCAGTGTTTGCTCTGGGCCCAGACAGCCTGGACTGGTTCCTCCTAGGCTCCTGGTGGAAGTGGTTTCTGACCCTGTTCTGCGAGATGGTCAAGAGGTTGATGACATAAAACCTGCCATCTTGGCTCCTGCTTAGCTGCTCTGGTGACGATGTGTTAGAGAGACGATTGAACTAAAGGCTTGAAAATGAAGTTGAGGGATTTTTTCCCTCCTCTGGATTTTAATTATCTACCTCACTTCTCCTCTTTGGAAAATAATGGAATTTGGATGAGTCCCAGCTGCGTTCATGGTTCAGATGTCCAATATTTATAGTAACTTACTCAAATATTCTGAGGAAAAACTTTTGCCTAATTAGTCATTTGACTGTACAGGTCCCAGCAGCAAAGACAGGGCTCCTGGGCAGACCCTGGCCTGCTGTCTCCTTGTGCCACACGGGTGACAGGAAACTCGTCTGGTTGAGAGGATGGGCGTACAGCTGTGGAGCATCAGCTCTGTGCACAATCAGTGCCAGGGACTCAGGATACCGGGATCAGACCTTTGCCCTAAAGCTGTATACGGGTCAGATGGGGACACCATGAAACAACTAATTCGAATTTCCCCAGAGGCCATCCCTGGGACCAGAATGAATGAAACTGATAAACCAAGTTTTTATTGTGTAGCCTTAAAACTAGGCAACTCTGCTTCATAGTTTTATGAAGGATTTTATTTAAAGATTTCATTAAAACCTTTTTCTTTTCTTTTTAAAAAATATTTTTATTGATTTTAGAGAGGAAGGGAGAGGAGGAGAAGGAGGAGGAGGAAGAGAGAGAGAGAGAGAGAGAGAGAGAAGAAGAAAGAAACATCAATGATGAGAGAGAATCATTGATCGGCTGCCACACTGGGAATCTAGCCGCAACCCGGCATGTGCCCTGACCGGGAATTGAACCGTGACCTCCTGGTTCATAGGTTGATGTTGAACCACTGAGCCATGCCGCTGGGCAAAACCTTTTTCTTCTTAGAAGACTAATAGATGTTTAAAGCAGAAAAAAAACACAGGAAAATAAAATGAAGAACATTTAATAACACCTATAATTTTATTACCCAGAGATATAAACATTAATTGGCTTGTTGGTGTTTGCTCTTCCTGCCTTTTCTTGGTATAATACGCACATATAAGGTCATCGTACACACACTCACATTTAACTTGTTTTCATATATACGTTATGTCATTAAATCTACTACAATATAGTTTTTATGATACTATGTTGGTACATGCATATAGTCGAAGACTATAATTTATTTAATCTGTTATTATTGAATGTTTCCTTAATTCTGCTTTTTTTTAAAAAAAACAGTATTAGTAATAGATAATGCTGAGAAGTTCATCCTTATTTGTACAACTTTGTTCCCCATCCATGATTATTTTCTTAGGACAGGTTTCCAGAAGTGAACTTTCTGGGTCAGGGGCCATACCCAATTTTAGCACTTTTGATACATAGTGCCAACTATCTATCCCCAAAAAGTTTATCAAAAAGTAGTACCAGTTTATTAGTCTACTAGGAATCCTTTTCACTCCCCAAACTAAATTTTGAGTCTTTGACAGAATTAGATCCCAGGCATTTGCTACATGAGCAATCACTGTATATATAATGTATGTATGTATGTATGTATGTATAACTCAGTGATTTTTAAAAAATATATATTTTTATTGATATCAGAGAGGAAGGGAGAGGGAGAGAGAGATAGAAACATAAATGATGAGAGACAATCGTTGATCAGCTGCCTTCTGCACGCCCCCTGCTGGGGATCTAGTCAGGCATGTGCCCTGACCGGGATTCGAACGGTGACCTCCATCCAGTTCATAGGTGGAAGCTCAATCACTCAGCCACGCCAGCTGGGCTCAGTGATGTTTTAACACCTTACAGGTGATTCCTAAAACTTAAAGTTAATTGTAGGTAATATCAGATTTACTGTTGTTTTGGTTTATTTTTTAGTTAGGGATTAATTTTGATGGTGAACCTGGGGACAGATAAAAACAGCCCGAGACCTGGATTTCAAAGCCTGAGGAGTATTTCGGTTGGCTTGGCTAATTTCAACCCGGGTTCCCTCAACTAGGAATGAGGGCCTTGAATCGTTCCAAAGAAGATAGCTTGTATATTTTAAAAATGAAAGCAAAATCTTCCATTAGTGAAGGTGGAGTCAAGTGAGCCTCCCGTAGTTCCCTCCCGGTAGGTGAGTGGTTTGCTCGGTTCATCCAGGCACCTGGCCCTCACGGCGCCCTGTTCTCGCCCGCAGGACCTGCAAGCCCAGGACCGAGCCCACCGCATCGGCCAGCAGAACGAGGTGCGGGTGCTGAGACTCTGCACCGTGAACAGCGTGGAGGAAAAGATCCTGGCTGCCGCCAAGTACAAGCTCAACGTGGATCAGAAGGTGATCCAGGCGGGCATGTTCGACCAGAAGTCTTCAAGCCACGAGCGCAGGGCGTTCCTGCAGGCCATCTTGGAGCATGAGGAGGAGAATGAGGTATTAGAGCCACCTTCATGAAATCAAACAGTGGCTTTGGTGTCCGACAATTAGGAGTAGCCTCTGTGTTCTTGAAAGAACTTCCTGGGCCGGCATTAATGAAAAGGAATAAATTAGCTGCTGTCTTCCATCCCCAGCACAGAAAGCCTATGTGAGTTTTCCAAGTGTTTTAAAAGCAGTTGCCACAGGCACCTCAAGGCTTGGCCGCCCCGTGATGCTTCCCCAGTTTTTCCCGGGAGGTACGGCCAGCATGCCTATTGAACTGCCAGTGCTGCTTGCTGCAGGGCAGGTGAGGAGACTGCAGAGGCCACTGTCAGGGACAGACCCCGCAGATGAGACAAGAGGGCGCAGGGAGGGGCCCTCCTTGCCTTTCCCTCCGCCATCCTGCAGAGCCCTCGGTCTCTTGTCTCTTGCCGGGAGATGACAGCACTCCCGTCGTTTGTAGGACAAGCCTTCCCTGCCTTTGGGAAGATAGGACCTGACCTGGTTTAGGGAGAATGCAGGTCGCCTGGAGCTTGGCAGGGAGATGTTGATCTCTCCCAGCCCTGAAGGGGGCGCAGGGTGGAGCCTGGAGTAGCCATCCATGCCTCTCGCTTCTCTGTGAGCAGCCTGCAGGGGCTCCACACGCCTGCCAGGCGATCAGCGTGCCGGACACGTTACCATTTTCTGGGTGGCCTGTGTCGGATGTGAAGGCGTTCGGGGACACAAAGAGACGGCGGACAAAGGCTCTGGTCCTGAGTGTCTGAGGCAGCGTGGGCTGCCATCTCTGCCGCTGACGGCTATGCATTGCTCGGGCACAAGAAGCCCAGGAAGAGTTATTGCCCACTTCCCTTTGGGTTTGTTCTCTGGGAGGGTCCGGCCACTGCGGGCAGGCTTCTTGCCAGTTTACAAGGGGAACTTTTCATCTGGGCGCAGGGACGTGCAAGCCCCCCATCTACAGGCAGTGGAAGGCCAGTGTGGTTCTGGGAAAGGGGTGAGCAGAGCAGGGCATCCCTTCTCCAGAAGTTACATGCACCGACTCTTTGTACTGAGTCCCAGCCCACCCCCAGCTCATCTGTGTCTTTGTCAGATGAAATGGAATATTTGGACACATTGACTGTAATCAATCTAAAGATAAACTAGAATAGACGATTTTTCAGAACATCCTTTTTTTACTCGATTGAATTGCATTCATTTCTAACGCAGTGCATAAAATGTTATCTTGGGAGCCCACAGTCATCTCATTTAAGCTGTTGGCACACTCGCACTCTTTCTAGATGAAAATGCCTCTTTTTAAGAAATTGGATGTTCAAAATTCTGGGTTGTCCTCTTTCTTCCCTCTGCTGCTACTCCCCATTCGGTTTTTAACAAGCTCACTCAGCATGTGATAAAAATAATTTTGTATGGTTACCTTCCATAGGATATGCCCAACTTTTAAAATCATTGTTTTAAAAGTGTAGCAGTCATAGCATAGCATTTCTAAAAGCTGGAGACCTTCCGGTTTCTGAGGAATTTGCAGAGATCATGTTCCTTTGTTTAACATAATATAACATGAAAATGTTAGCTCTTAAATAATTGCCTTTTCTAATTCATTTCAATTGTTTTAATTAAGTATAGTTTTGTAGGGGTTTTGTTATTCAGTTGTCCTATTCACAAATCTCACCGTTAGCATAATAATGCCCACTGAGATACACTGACTAAACATACCTTAAAAGGTTAGATATTTGCATATATGTGGTTTTTAGGGTCTTGCTCTGTGCCTAGTCTCAAAAGTTTCACATACTCATGTTTTTGTAAGGCTTTGAAAATGAGCATTTATATTTGGGATAAGGTTAATAGGGTTAAAAGAATTAACGTTAGGCACTTTTTCTTGTGGCTTTCCTTATTTAAATCTCTGTGATGTAAATGTCACACCCATTTTGCAAATGAAGTCATTGAGGCGGGGAGACGTTAAGTAATTTGTTTTAAAAGTAAGGGAATCAAGATTCACGCCCAAGAGAACCAGTATTTCTTACAGTTCTCCCTGAATAGGTTTTGGCCTGGGAAGAGGGTTTGAATAACTTGGAGAATACTGATGGCAAGTACTGCACCCAGTGACCCTTCTCTTTCCTTTCTGGCCTGAGAAACGGGACCCCTGTGGCCTGGGGGACAGATTCTCCTCACCCGTTTGTACCTCACTGCAGTCACCGCCCTCTCTCCCTAAGCCTGTGAAATCATTCTGTTTCTCAACCCCAGGAAGAAGATGAAGTACCGGACGATGAGACTCTGAACCAAATGATCGCTCGACGAGAAGAAGAATTTGATCTTTTTATGGTAATATTATAGAAAACCCTGGAAACAGCTGCCGCATCCCTCTGCCCCCTTTTCTACGGACACCAGGTGTCTGGGGCCTGCGTGCCCTGGCGGAGTCGCATGTCTGAAGCCTGTGCCTCTCCTTCAGTTCACAGGCTGCTCGCTGGCTGGGATTAGCCTGCCGGCCATATTTTGTTTGGCCCACGCAGTGTTTTTTATAATTTTGAACTTGTTGCCAACATAAAAAAAAAATCCTGATTTCTGGCTTCTCTTTAAAAAAAAAAAAATGAGAGTGGGCAATACCAGGCCCGCATCTCCATAGAGACAGTCGACTGGAAGCTGAGCACAGACCCTCACCCCCAGGTCATTTCTAATGGGGGGGGGGCAGCATCCTCCCGGAAACCTGCCCTCCCAGGGCAGGGGGTTTACAGCTCTCCCCTAGCTGTCTCCGTACAGGAGCAAAACAAGCATGCTCCCTGTGGGTGGGGGTGGGAGGACAGCAACTAGAACAACAAGGTTGTGCCTCTTATTGTTGAGAGCAAATGGGAACCTCCCAGGTGCGCATCAAGGTGTAGCCTTCATGTAAAGACCAAAATTGGTTGGATTTTACTGGTACAAAGTAGATGTAAAGAACCTTGACATTTGAGGATTTAACAGCCGTGGCTTCAGCCTTGATGTTTCATCTAATTTTGCTGACACCTGAATTTGATTTATGAGTGTGGCCTGCTACAAGATCAGTATGGGTGGGAGAAGTCCCTTGGCCATAAGAAGGGAGGCTCTCCGGAGAAATCTTTTATTACCTTCTAAGGCATTTGCTATAGCGAGTTTATTTACCTCTGTTTATCCTCAATGCTCAAGACATCAGGTAGTTACTGGATAAATATTTATTGAATGAGTGGCGGCATTTGCAACATGGCGGGCCTTGTGAAGAAGTCAATATGGATCAGGATATACAAAGTTGCGAGGCTCCCTCCAGCACCTTCCAAATTTATAACAGTTAGCCTGATTGTGGAGTGAGTGAATCCATCTAAACTCTAATTCTGGCTTTTGAATGGAGCAGAGCCCCCAAATCAGAAGTCCCTTGGGTCTCAGACAGGTAATTTGCATAAGCGAAGCAAGTGGACTGGGGCCAGTGGATGGTGTGCACCGGAGCTGCCTAGTCTGAGGGCACAGAGCTGCAAACCCCATGAAGCTAGAAATTCTGTTTTTAAGAGGCGCTGGAAATCTGGGCTTTTGTATGTAATCTCTGGATTTCAAAATGTTTGCAGCTAAATTCATTTTTTTATTATTATATAACACTGCAGGCCAAACAAAACACGACTGTGGGCCAAATATGACCCACAGGGTTTGCAATCTCCGCCTTGTTAGCCTAGACAGTCTGAGCAGGGGCTCCAGCTGTGGAGGCTCAGGTTATTTTTGAGACCTGGTGTTTTCTGTCTAGGGAACAATGATTATGTCCACACATCATGATTCAAGATGAAAGACATTCCGTTCTTTCTCGGGAAACTTTTAGGTAGCCATGGGAATAACTCCTAACCTGGGATGTGCACATTTCCCCGCTTCTAAATGAACCACCCTACCCAGGTTGGGCCATTTTGGAGAGAACTGACACAAAAAAAGAGGCATTAACAGCATGGTCAACATGGGATGCTCATAAAACCTAAATGTCTTAACTAGCATTAAGATTGTATCTATTTAGGTAAAGTAGAAAAAGAGGCATTAACAGCATGGTCAACATGGGATGCTCATAAAACCTAAATGTCTTAACTAGCATTGTTAAGATTGTATCTATTTAGGTAAAGTAGCGATACACACAGGAAATAGACATCTTTTCTCCCCTGGAGGAGCTTATTGAAATGTAGATTACTGGGAACCCTGAGGTGGGAAGCCCTTTACTTCCCTGGCTGGTCACTGATGGGTAGTGATTCAGCCCTGCTCTAGCCTCACATGCTCTGGAGACACTGAAAGGGTAAGCTGCCTGCCATTGTACGAATCAGATTAGGCCCCAAAATAAGGGGCAAAGAGTACTTCTTTTTTCTTAGTTTTGGGCTGGGTATTTGTAGAAATTGACAGCTTGGAGGCGGGGACGACTGGAATTTCTAGCCAAGGCACAGATTTCTTTTCGTTTGGGACTATTTTATCACACAAAAACAGGCTTGGAACTGGTGAAGGTGGTTAAGGAACACTTTTTGTAGGTATTTTGATTTTGTGAATGTTCTGCCTGTTTCTTAAAAGGTTGATTTCTCATTTTTGGATTATATTTTTGAGTTCGTTTGTTTTTTCGTTGAATTTATTGGGATTACATTGGTTAATAACATTATATAAGTTTCAGGTGTACTTTATGATACAATATCTGTATATTCCATTGAGTGTTTTTCAAAGTCTTATAATCAGCTGGCTGCCTTTCTAACTCACTATTCATTAACACCTCCACCAGGGGGCAGGAAATCATATTTGAATCCTTGCCAGCTACTCTGATTAAAAAGTGTAGTGAGAAACAATGGGATGTGAGCTGGATTTGGATTTCAGTATTTGAACTCTTTATTCGTTATTATAAAAGAGTTAGTTCTCTGTAAAATGAACCCAAACTTTTTAAAACCATAGGCACTGTAGTTAAATAACACATTAAGCAGATAGTCTCTTTAAAATAAAAGAACATTTCTCTTGAACATTTTTCTTCTAAAAATGCGACGTGAGAAAAAGTTATCTCTCATACTGATTACCTGTGAATTTTACCTAAAAAGATATTTTGACAGGTCAAGGTACATATCTGAAACATTTTGCTAATATATAAATACGAAGCTTTTAGTTGCTATGTTCCCTACAAAGGCAAGAAGTACTTTTAAAAATATTTGTTAGCATAAGGTTTATTATCAGGCTTTAAGACAAACATATGCATGTAATAATAAATAAGACTTACTTGAATATCAACTTCAGATTGTGTACTGGAATTCTGCAAGTAGAAATCTCTGGGAAAGAGATGCAGTCAATAGAACTTCAAGCTGATTAAAAATCGTAACAACCCTTCCTAAAAGGAAAAAAATGCAAGTGTAATTTGTTTTCTTTTATATCAGCAAAGGTTTATTTTATCAATTGTGTGGCACGTCATTTTACAGGTCTTGGTATAGGTAACGGTAGTAGCCTAACCAAAAATTGAAGCGACAATATTTTGTCATCTCATTGCATAGCACATTACCAAAAAAATGTTTTTCTTCTCAGCTGTCTAATAACTATTAAAGAGATGACCTCAAGAGGCCCCTTGATCGAGAGATTGCAATGTTAACAAGGCATCCTCTGTGTGCTAATAGCAGAGGCTTGGTGGATCCCATTGCTGATAGTAAAGCATTAGAAGGCAGGGTTGGGGTTGCAAACAGCCTCTCCAGCTAACTATAGCCCATGACAACGGGATGACCACATTGATCTCCCAGTGGGCCTCTGCCATGCTCCCAGCCCACCCATTTGGGAATATAATGATTGCCAAATATGTTTAAGCATTGTTTAAGGGTTGAACTTTAATTTTTAAATAGATTCTAGAGTTCAGATTTCAATTTGAATAGAAATTTCACTTATATTCTGTTACCAGTTTTAGCTCTTAGGGAAAAATTGTATTGAACCAAAGGAAAAAAGAGGGAAAAGGTAAATCATTTAATGGTTAATGGTCTCTTCAGTTGTAGAAATGACACATCAGCTAGTGATATATACATATAACTAATGTATGTTGCAATTCACTGGAGGTTTTGTTTGCTTTTCTTTAGCTATCAAATTGTTAATTATAAGTTAAAACCATATTTGTGGCACTTTATAAGTGCACAGGGCATGGGAAAATAGGCATTTTTGAAGGTTTTAAAAGAATACAAAAGAGAGCCATTTCTTTAATAACGTGACCAGCGGAGATGAGATTACATCCGAGGTCTCTCTCTCCTGGTATAATATTTTCCTAAGAGCTAAATTTTTTAAAAGCTGAAGAATTGAGGGGCATTCCTCTCACAGGGCCCATGGCATACTGAACATTTAATACATTCATGGCCGACTGACCGATCAAACCATTTATGTGCCCCCATGTCCGAGTCCGGCCGAGGGTGGTGGCCACTCTTAGTGACACTTGAGTTGCTGATTTTATTTTCCGGTTGTTCAATCAAAAGCATGAGCCCTATAGAATAAAAAAAGGATTTTTTAAAAATATGCTTAAAGGATACTTTTATGCCAGGGCAGCAATGCATTGTATCACCAGGGTTCCTATTTGTTAAATACATCCCCAGTTTGAATCTTACGGGGAAGCTTTGCACACATATAGACTAAGAAAAGGAACTTTTAAAGATTGTTAAATGCATACATAAATCTCAGCAATGGGTACAAAGGAAGGGAAGAGACTAGCGCATCCACGAGAGAGTCCCCGTGGGACATGGAGAGGGACCCCGCAGCCCTAGGAGGCGATGTGTGAGAGGTCGGTGCGCTGCGGAGCCTGTGCGGTACCGAGCCCCGTCCTCACTGATGAAACTTATGTTCCCGTCCTCAGCGCATGGACATGGACCGGCGGAGGGAGGACGCCCGGAACCCGAAGCGCAAGCCGCGCCTCATGGAGGAAGATGAGCTGCCCTCCTGGATTATTAAAGACGACGCCGAGGTGGAGAGGCTGACGTGTGAGGAAGAGGAGGAGAAGATATTTGGCAGGGGGTCTCGCCAGCGCCGGGACGTGGACTACAGCGACGCCCTGACCGAGAAGCAGTGGCTGCGGGTAGGTGTGGCTTTCTTCGCTGTCCTCCACTGGTGGCTGGCGGCGCTTCTTGTTGGCTCGGAGCAGTCAGGGGCCTAACGCTGACATTCTTGGAGGGGCCCGAGTCGCCAGGAAAAGGGGAGATGGCTGCTGACCATGGATAAGTCATTCTGCTGTCGCCGTGGAATCGTTCTTCACTCCTTGAAATATAGTGAAGAGGTTTTTGTTTTTGCTAGAGCAGAGCTGGCCATTGGATTATTAGAGCTCTGAGACCCACTAAAGTTTTACGACCAATTGCCTGGTCATGCCTCACTCTCTCCGAGTCAGAATCAAAATGTGGGAAGGGGGCCTTCGGGATCTTTTTCATCGGTCCCCCTCCTTCCATGGTCTTGAATCGGAGCTTTACTTCTCCAAGGCCTGCAGAGACGGCTCAGGGGCAGGCCTCTTCCAGCTGCATCCTTACTTCACTAGAGCCAGAAAGTGCCTTTGTATTCTCTTGGTGTTACAGACAAAGCAGTTGAGGCCCAGAGAGGTTAAGTGATTGTGTGGGATCGCACAGCTGGCCAAAAATAACCGGATCAGTGAGTGCTGTTGCATCTGCGCACTCACTCTAAGTTTGATCTGCTCTGTCCATCGCAAACACAGACTGGGGCCTGGGACTTAGTCACTTATGCTTAGAAGGGTTGTTCTTTAGTTTAGGGTGATTCCCTCCCCGGTTTGGAAAATGGTGATTTCTTATTCTGACTGAGGAATGAAGTCTCAGAAGGTTGGTTGGGAGCACGAAAAAAGCGCCTCGGAGCCAGGTGTGTGCGTGCCAAGGCCAGGAATGAAGTCTCAGAAGGTTGGTTGGGAGCACGAAAATATAAGAAAGCGCCTCGGAGCCAGGTGTGTGCGTGCCAAGGCCCGTGTGAACCTTCCTTGGGAAGGTCTGGCCCTCCTTGCCCTTGGTGGGAGCAGACTGAGTACCTAGACAGACACAGTCTGGGGCACCCATTCCAGGCAGGGCCAGTAAGTGCTCGCTGGAAATAGTAACGCAGTTGGGTAAAAACCAAACAAAATAGAGGTAGTTGTTGTGAGTTGTTCATTTTATCAAAAGGGAATGCAATTTCCAAGGTTTGTAGAACAGATTTTAGGACCCAGGTCATAAGTAGGTAGGTGGGTTGAAAAAGGCCACGGGAAGTATTTTGAGATTGGATGTCAACAGCAGGCAGGTCTTGGCACCACTTGAGATGTGATTTACTTGGGATGTTGTGTGATGAGAGAGACGTGATCTAAATTTCAAAAAGATTGAAGTCTGTGGTATTCAGAAAAGAGAGACTAAGAAAGCATTGCTTATGTTTATGATTAAACAATGGCTATGAAATGTAACTTTCGTGTGATTATTTTATGGTCGTATCCAAACATTCAGGTGGCCTCAGAATACGGCTTTATGGATTTCTTTTGTTTCACTATTGTGAGGTTATCAGCTGTTTAACTAAGATTCCTTCTATAATGTGAAGAGATTTGTGTTTAATAATCATTTCTGAGTTCAGGAAAATCGATTCCCTTTCTTTTTTATTTAAGCAATGAATTAAGTACCTGGAGTATTATTACAGGAGATATTAATCTAGGGCCGACATTTTAGTCAGTCTTTATATATGTATTACAGAAAAAATAACCTTGTTTATTGGTACAAATATAGCTGAACTTTTTATTTTTTAAGTAATCACTGGGAAATAAATGCTCTTAAGAAAAATAACTATGAATCTCAGATAATGTATAGGTTTAGAATATCTCATTTTTTTTCTCTTTTTCATTCAGTTTCTATCACAAATGATTAGCACAGTGTTTAGCCCCTAGTAGAGACTCAATGAATGTTTGTGAAATGAAATTAAAACCTTGTAAGAGGAAAGTGGAAAGTTACTAATTTACCAGTGATGTCAGGTTGTCTTTCTCTTTCTGGTGTATCTAGTGGACTTCCTTTTATCGGTAACATATACATCTAAAAATGGAAAACTAGGTTGTTTTACAAAACTACACTGTGAAATTGATGTTCATAATTTTCAACCTAAGGTGCATTGTGAGATACCAAGTCACCCAAGAAAGTCAAAACTGTTCTTAGTACAGCTCTATTGTAATAATTTCTTTTGAAATCCAGGCTTTCTCGAACCGGATGTCCATTTTTGGTATGAGCCGGTAACTTGCTGTTAACCAGGAACCAATGCAGAATGTCCTGTGGCCCTCAGCATTCGAAACAGATGCTTACTGTCGTTTGTTTTCTTCTTCACCAGTAGCAATCTTGCATAGTACCAGCCTGTTAAGCTTTTCCGATCATAAAGTGATATTCAAGGGGTTCTCACGGGCCTGCATGTGAAGAGATATTCTCGATTGGCTTAAGATTGAGCACGTTGAGCGAAACCCAGCCAACACAGCCTTGAAAGGGAATTTGGCAAGGACCATGGTGTAAGAAATGCTGTAGCAGGGCTACAATCATTCCTCTTTTTCCTGGCAGTGTTATACAAAGCCTGCTTGGCAGAGGCATCAAACATACATAGACTCCCAGAGTTGGAAGGCAGCTGAATGGAGCAGCTACCCATCCTGTGCTTAAGTCACATTGTCTGCGGAGCCCAAGCCAAGAGGCTGGCCGTCCCTACAGGAAACACTCCCCTTCTTGTCTGCGGAGCCCCTCCAGACCTTCTTCCCTTTGAATGGAATCCTCTTTCCCTGTAGCTGCTCCTCACTGTCCTGGATTCTAGTCCCTGGAGTGAACAGAACGTTATTTTTTCTCTTTTTAGCATCACGTCCCGCTGGACAAAATATTTGAGGACTCGTGTCCAGTCTGGAATGAACTTTGTACCCTCCTCTTTCTTCTGAACTTAGCTCATCCTTCAAGGCCCAGCTCGCTTGCCAGCACTTCTGTGATGCTTCCGCAAGTATCACACTTGCCACTGTGTTCTCATAAGTCTTTGCTTGTCCTTCTGTCACAGCTCAAACCCGGTTTCCTAGTTTTCTTGTTAGTTGCTGACGTGCCTGGTTTCCTGACTAGTGGATGAGCTGCATCTTGTTAGAACTTAGGTCTCCGTGTGCAAAGAGTAAGCGCCCATTGATTGCCCAGTTGAAATCGCACTGATTGATTGATGTATAAGAGTGCTGCCTAGGGTAATGTTCACGGCTGCAACAGATGAACCTAAACATGCCCTATGTGTGGGCCTATTCAAAAAAATAAGTGGAATTTTTATTTCTCACATGGAAGTAAGTCCACAGTAGGCATTCCTGGTTGGTGGGGACAGCTGTCCTCTATGTGGCCAATCAAGGATCCTGCTGACAGCCTCTGCCAGCTTAGACATCCCGTTCCAGTGAGCTGGAGGTGGGGAAGACAGCATGGAGTGGCAGGCGTGGGGTTCTAATGGGCTGGGTCTGAAGGTTCCATGTCACTTCTGCGCACATGCCATTGGCTAGAACTCAGTCCTACGGCCACCCTAGCTGTAAGGGAGACTGGGAACTGGCCTGGCTGTGTTATAGGATGAAGTGGAGGGTCCTCTTCCCCACTGTGATGCTGGGGGTTGAAACATTCAAACCTGTAAAGAATTATTGAGTTTATTTGAGCCAAACTGTCGATAGTTTCAGGGAAGCAGAATCTTGACATCCTATATAACAAAGAGGTAATATGCAAACTGACCGTCATGCCCTCACACAAGATGGTCATGGCCCCCCCCCCGTGTGGTCACAAGATGGCTGCCACAAGATGGCCGGCAGGGGAGGGCAGTTGTGGGCATTCAGGACTGCAGGGGAGGGCAGTTTGGGGGGACCAGGCCTGCAGGGGAGGGCAGTTTGGGGCAACCAGGCCAGCAGGGGAGGACAGTTAGGGGCGATCAGGCGGGCAGGGGAGCTGTTAGGTGTCGATCAGGCTGGCAGGGGAGTGGTTAGGGGGTGATCAGGCTGGCAGGTAGGGGACCAGTTGGGAGCCAGCAGTCCCAGATTGTGAGAGAGATGTCCAACTGCCGGTTTAGGCCCGATCCCAAAGGGGTCCCAGATTGGAGAGGGTGCCGGCTGGGTTGAGGAATACCCCCCCCCCCAGTGCACGAATTTCGTGCACTGGGCCTCTAGTATTGAGATAATGCTCATGAGAATGGCAGCTTTTCTGTTTGTTTTATAAATTACAATCACAGGAGGAGATGTAAGTGGGTTACATGAAATCCGTTGGTGATAGATTAGGGAGGCAGAGGAAAGCAAGGGGAGGGGTAGGGCCTCTGGGATTGGATAAAGAGTAAAATGATAGACACTTGCTTCCTATACATAGGTGGTACAGGATAGTTAACAGTCAACAATTAACACAATAACAATTACAATGAAGAAATTTGTGGTCTCCACCCTGGTGCATTGATTGTGCCCTGAGGGAAGCAAGTGGCACAACCAGAAAAGGGAAGGTTACAAGTTACCCTGACATTCCAAATGCCTGTTGTCATAGATGCAAAAAGACAGTAGGCTCAGTTAAGATCAAAGTTGATCTTTGTCAGGGAAGATACTAGCCTAAGACGTGACTACCCACTGTAAACTGCTTTTTTAATTTAAAAAGTTTTAATTTTAGACCATCCTTTGTGGTTACTTTAGGCCTGTACATTTGCAAGGCTGCCACGCAGGCCTCCTCTGAGCTAGTCAGGTTAGCATGTGGCCCCTTTTCGTCCACAGGGTGGAGTCCTTACAATATTTCAAGAAAAATTCCAAAGTTCCATTTCTCTTAGTCCAGTCACAGAAGACGTTTAGCTGGGGTTTCAGTAAAACTAGAAGCAAGGCCAGTGTCCAGAGTTTGCTTTCCGTATTGGAGCCCGTCCGTTCAGCATCAGGCTAGCAGCAGTCCATGAGTCCATTGTGTCTGGGGTCCACATGGCCCTGTGGGAGTCCCAAGAGCAGCAAGAGCACAAGAGTAAGAACTCCTTTGTTCAGAGGATTAAATATCCCAAATTTCACACCTGGCCACGCCCATTCTGGCCAATGACCTTGGTTCTCAAGTGTGACTGACAGCAAACAAACACCTTCCCTAT